GATTTCGCACCGTTATGTGTCATGTGCGTATTTGCACCGGTTCATATTAGATATATTCGCTTGCCCGTTGGCTTTAATCAAGGGTGGAGGGCTGTAACGGATTTATGCCCTTCACGTCGACCGACAACACAAACGGCCCTCAGATAGTTAGCACCACATGGTGGCAAGAGGAAAGAAGCATCAGCGTACTGTGAGAATATCACGTGCCGTTCAGGCGGAAAACAGTTAAATGCCAGACAATAAAACGCAACATTTGCTGCTGCTGCTGATTTAAGCTCAAAAAAGTAGCTATAAAACCAGACAATAGACGAACCCGACGGAACCCCTTCCGTTGCATGCTACATAGCAGCTGGAGCGATGTCGAGCTAGTGGAGTATTTGCCTTTGTTGCGAATTATGAGGTTTGGCTAGACGCTGACTGTTTACTCAGAACACACACTCACACATACTAAGTGAAGCGTAGACACGCCCACTTGTTCATACATTTCCGTTATAACTTATAGTGTCCATTTGGGGTATAAACATTTATCCGCTTTAATTCCACACGCACGCGGCCGCTCTGTGAGCATTTTTTTCTTTCATGTTATTACTAGCTCGGCAGTCATTAAATTTGATTATTGTTTGTGGCAGGATAAGAACGATGAGTTTATGGCTGCGCAAAAACGACGTTGGCACACACGACGTATGCTTCATATCTCTTGCAATGGTATGCCAATATTGCTGCCTCAAGAGCTTATGAATTTTTTAAGTTCCATTGCCCTCATTGTTTTCTGCGTATGCATATAAAATGTAATGAGCTGCCATAATGAAGACAAAAAATAAAAATAAGAACACGTTGTCTAAAAATAGCGAGCTCAGCGTTAACCTTTTGTGTGCATCCCAATGGAGAATTGTTCCATCTCTACGGCGCGTTGTCACCACTTCGCTTCGGCCTCGTGCTGATGTGTGCGTTAACTGTGACAATAAACCAAGCTGCCTGGCCACGCTAAAAAAGACAACATCACGTGAAAATTTGTTAGGTGAAAGCAACAGTTTAGGCTCCACGAGCATTTGCCCTGACATGCCAGGACATGCAATTATCCTGCCTATCGCTTTGTGTTGTTATGTGTGCGCCCTGCGGTTGTGCCTCTGACATATACATTTACACCGCATTTCGGTAGCCCGCAGCTATTTTGTTTCATGCGTGACAACACACATCCACACTTATGTGTTAAGACCACGCTATAACGTATTGGGGCTATTATTATTATTTTTTCAATTCTCTAAAGGAATCCTCGGCAATTACGACCTCCGCATACACACTTTAGGCAGCAAGCGAAAAAAAAAAACGCAAACATTTATAGGCATTATGGCTACCGGAAATTGCGCACGTTCCGTTTACATACATACATGTATGTATTTGTGTACATATACACTGGAAAAAATGAATATTATGCAAATTTAATCCTCCTGAAAAATAGTTGAAAATATGTACATTGTTTATCACGTATCAGTCTGATACTGATAGGCCTATGATGACAATTTGAAAAGGCTTTAACTGTAAGTTTAAGTTTTGCGGTACATTTCAAAGCCTTGATTTGGTTGTGTTATCTATTTATGTATATATTGAAGCATCGGCTTTCTCTCTCTTTAGTTAGGTTCGGGAACAAAAAGCTTTTAAAATTGTTTTTCCTTTCGTTTTCTTTTTCTTTCCATTTTCTGCAATATTTGATATTGTGCTTTCCAAATGGCTTACAGATACTTACTTATCCCATGATTACCAAGGGAAATAAATGATTCATTACAACTTCTTTCAATTACAAAAACAGTCATAAGATAGTATGTAGAAAATATTGTCTGAGTAACCAATCAAGAGAATATTTAGAATAAATTCCCTCGTACAATTGTTTTATAATTTGTTTTAAAAATGAAGTACATAGTTTTTTGTGTGTAAGCATACGTTCTTCACACACACGTACTCGAATGTATGCCCACTTGTTTACCCACTCTGGAACGTTGCTTTTTATGTCGCCAGCGCCTTTAACAAATCCATTGTGTGCAATCGCACGAGATTAGATACAATCTTCAATAATAGCATGTACATCAGACAACACAACCAACCCAAAGCACAGAGAACACACATACATATATGTAGTTAAAGGCAGGACCAGCCAAAGAAGCAAACTTTTTACTTTACCATCCGACACTTCCAACAGTTCCCTACCAGTTCCAACTCTCTTACTCTATACTTATCCCTGGCATTGCTTTATTTCAGCCGTCCAATCGGACTTTCGTTCAATTCTTATTGTCTGTATTGTGGTCTGTGGTCTGTGCATTTTATTTGTCTGTTCTCATCTACATCTATCCATCTGTTTATCTATCTATCTGTCCAAATAGCTGTCCTTCTGTCTGTCTGTTTGTCCTTACCGCTTGCGGCATTCCTTGAGATGTGCTTTTTATATTTGTGTTGATTTATCCAAGCTGCAAATATTTTATGGCTAGCGACATTCATCAAGTTGGACGCTCATAAATGGAATGGTTATTGTTCCATATGTCCATATGTCTGTATGTGTGTGGGCTTTTTGTGTGGGTATGTTCTGCGTGCAGACTTAGCTGTCAAAATATATTTGCATTTATGCCAAATGACGTGTCAGTCATTTCTTTATTGCATTTTTTTTCCTTTTTGTTGCACGCTTGCTAATTGAAATCAAATATGTAATTAGTAGCTATAATTTGACGCTGACAAGTACAGAGATTCGACAACAGATGGTTCAACTTTACTGTGCGTGGCTTCAAGGCACAAGTGTGGACATACTTATGCTGAAATAATACGCCTGCGAGCTTTAATTATATTAAATGGTCGCTTTCTATCTATTATATAGCGCGTGTTTTTGGCGCTTGCAGCAATATATGAAGTTATGGTTTTAAATTGAATATCACGATGATTAATAATTGAAATTTAATATTGCTGCGGCTGCCACCCATCAGACTCATTACACTATCAGTTAAGCAATTGTCTTACAGCTCAATAAACAATGTAGCTTGTATGCCATATAATGAGATTCATATGTTGCTTTTAAATTCGCGATTTGTGCGTCGTAAAAATGAATACAAGTTAACATGCACAGTCATAAACAAAGGCTGCAGGAAGAACAACAATATTATAAACATAAAACAAATGTGGGCGGAAGTACAGTTTTGCGGGAAAATACTCGCTAAGCAACGACTTACAATCTACCTTAAAGTAATTTAGGCAATTTTCAGAAATGTAGCTGAGAACAATATTCAAATTTCATGAAATTGAATGAAAAAGAAACCCTTTTCAATTATAGAAGCCCCAAGCATATTTATTCGTACATAAAGAAAATACTCAGAAGATACAGCTCTCAAAATATGATTGGACTTTATTTTAGAATTGCGTAATATAGGCGGAAATTGTCAATTATATTTCTATTAGTATTAAGGCAAGACTGGTTTAGTCGAAATTAAGAAGAGCAACCCAGTTTAGAAGGACACTCATTAGTTCAGCTTCTTTTTAATTTCAACAGCCATGTTAAGGAGAATACAAGTATAATATTTCATTTGATATTTAAATATTATATTTCATAAATATATTTGAGATCAGATTGCAGGGGCACACTGACTTGTATGCTTAACTGTGCCCATCTCCGTATTCTTTAGTTTTGCCCGCCATTTATGCGCACATCTACATACTTATCATGTATACTATATGTGTTTGGTGGGTTGGTGTTTGAATGGGTGTGTTTGTTCGTATGTATGTGCATGCATGGCTGGTTTTATGCTGTGCATTAATGTAACGATGCATCATTTATGCCATTTATTATTAGTATACTTGTATAAGTACGAGATTTGATACGAGCCTTAGAAGCTGTGGACCACAGCTTGTTGGAAGGTACTGGTACCTCCCTATATCGCAGTAGCGCTCACCCTGGCGGAGCACTACCATGTTTAATTTCTATCATGACTTTGACGGCCTTGACTTGCCCTTTGCCTTTGACTTTTTATGCATGATTTTATTTACTTTTCGGATGGGGGCCAGAGCCGTATTTTATGGGCCCCAACAGCAGTTGATGCGGAACCGCACATAACACATAAGCTTTGGCGGCACGCACAAGGCGTGAACGTCACTGACTTCTTAGCCTGAAAGTGAGTGTGTCTGCGAATGTGAACTGATTATATTTTCTGTTTTTGATGGTGTTTGCTGGGCGTAACTTTTCAGACAGCTAATGAATTTTTATGGCACTGCGCCTATGTTTTATTAATATATCGTCGCCAGTTGTGTTGCTGGCTTTGCCATGCTGATGCCGATCCCTGCGAGCTCCAGTTCCAAGTGGCAAACAAACAGTTTGAGGCATAAAATGCAATTTGGCTGTACGGTGGTATGGTGCTTTAAAGAGTAGCAGGAGCCAACATTGTGGGTTCCAAAGTCAGGGCAGTGCATGTGGTAAATGCAATTAACATACACATATAGTATACGTATACACGTACATACAAACACACGTTGCCGCAAACTGGGGTCGTAACACTAAAGTATAGTTGTGTGGGTGAATGCCACATTGTTGAGCTCGAGCCGCCGGCACTGGAAACTGGAAGCTCGGCACATTGTTAGCCTTCCTGTGTGTGCACACAGCCATAGGAATGAGTTTGTTGGAGGCTGCACGTGGCCCTTTCGCAAATTGTATGGCATTGTATTTGGCTATGGTGACTATATAGTTTTTTCACGCTGAAATTACAGGACCTGTTGAAAGGGTATAATAGAAGAAAAGAAGTGTGCAAAAGTTAAACTGCGACATTTCCATATTTAAAATCATCCAGCTAGAAATTGGACAATGCTTTAAACTTTCAATGCAAATTGTTTGCATTTCCTTCTCATTCTTTCACTTTGCAGCTTTCAAATGCCCAAGACATGCCCCGGAAGCAGCTGCGAAGCGTATGTAATGTGATTCAGCTGCAGCTGCCAAGTGCGACAGTGACAATGACAAAGACTCCCACAAATGCACAATGAACGCTCCGTTTGCCAGCCAAGACAGCCCCATCCCCAATTCCGTACCAAGTGCTCCCAGCCACAGCGCCAGCGGCAGCGGCAGCGGCACCACCAACAACCAACCCGGTGATCTATTCAATAGCAGCATTATCGACGCACTCTGGTCCCTAAACAATCTCGATGACATCAATCAAAGCGTCGAGCTGCAGTGTCTCATGCAGGAGCACATCGAGGCCAAGACCTATGCCAATTCAAGCGACCATTGCCTCACCCAGTTCGACTCGATACTCTGTTGGCCTCGCACCGCCCGAGGCACTCTCGCCGTGCTCCAGTGCATGGCCGAGCTAAAGGGCATACATTACGATAGTACAAGTGAGTAATTCAACTAGAGGGCACTTCCCCATTAAGAATCCTGCAATATAGTAAAAGGATAATCAATAATAACTTGCGAAACTTGTTATATGCTGTACTCGAAAAGGCTGCAGCATTATCTTAAATGGAATTATAAAACAGCATTCATGGTGTTTTTACCTATTACATTTTCTGAGATATATTTATAAACAGTGGGGATAGCGATATGGCTGGAGTTCCGTGTAATGTACCACCCAAGAAAAAGTGTAGCGTACAACCAGAGATATTTCTAGCTGTTATGCTTCTTCAAATCCGACAGGGAGTTTTATTAAATGGAAGAGACCACTGCAGACCTAACACAATATTTTGAGTTTTTGTACATCCTCAGAACTATGCGTTCATACAGTCTTACAAGCTTTCGAATAGACCGGCAGCAGCTGTTGAATATAAAACTCCACAACTTAACAGAACACCTAACAGGGAACATACATAATTAGTCCTACAAAGTGTTTCCAGCTCTTGTACTTTTTGTTGTTCATTTTTGTTTGTTCATATATCGATCGATTCATCTATTAGATACTGATCAGTAATGTATTTCTATTACAAATGTAGGCTCTACTATGTTTTATCACAATACTATATATAATACGAAACAGCTAAAGTAAATATTTCTGGTTAAATGAGAACCTACATGTATATTTCTTTTGCCCACTAAAGCTAAAGTTAAGGCGTTAGTGGAAGTGTTCAATTAAGATTTTTTTTATTTATTAAGGATATTTTAAAACTTGTCCCATTCGGCATTGCATTTGTTAATGTAAGTGCAATCGTAAGTGGTGCACCTTTTAACCCTTTGCATGCCTCTTTCCAGAAAATGCGACTCGGTTTTGCCAAGCGAATGGTACCTGGGCGAATTATACCAACTACGATGCCTGCTTGCACCTGCCGGCTCCGGAAACGGTGCCCGAGTTTGAGACCATAGTTGAGCTCCCCACTATCATTTATTATATCGGCTACACCATAAGCCTCGTATCGCTGACACTGGCGCTGATAGTTTTCGCCTACTTCAAGTGAGTTGGGTGTTCATGTGGGTGTGGGAGTGAGTGAGGGGGCGCTAGGGGCGTGTCTGTGCATGGGCCTGTGCGTGTACGATAGTTGGTGTTTCCAGGCTATTTTCGCAACAGACGAACGCCTTTGCCCCTTGTGCTATTTTCCTTGCATCATACGGATATTTATTTCTGTACGTACCACCCCATTTTCCTCTTCCGCTCTTCCGCTTTGCCGCTTGGCCTACAGAGAGCTGCGCTGTTTACGGAACACCATCCACGCCAATTTATTCTTCACGTACATCATGTCGGCATTGTTCTGGATACTCTTGTTATCTGTGCAGGTAAGTACATGTATTTCTGTTTTTCATGAAATGCCCGTTTACTCCTCTGATCTATAGATATCCATACGGAGTGGCCTGGGTAGCTGCATTGCTTTAGTCACGCTCTTTCACTTCTTCACGCTGACAAACTTCTTTTGGATGCTGGTGGAGGGTCTTTATCTGTACATGCTGGTGGTGAAGACCTTCTCGGGTGACAACATACGCTTTAACATCTACGCATCCATAGGCTGGGGTATGCCTATCCCTCCCTATACTGCCCATCTCGCTGTCTCTCCTAATTATTTTGTTTCTCACTGTGTTCGCCCTCCAGGTGGTCCAGCTCTGTTTGTTGTCTCGTGGGCAGTGGCCAAAAGTTTGACAGTTACTTACAACAATGCGAAGCAGGTATGAAGCGTAGCCTCGCACATTTTTAGTCTGTTTAACGAGTCACCTCCCTCCCTTGATTAGTATGACATCAACTGCCCCTGGATGGAGGAGACAAATGTTGATTGGATATTTCAGGGTCCCGTCTGTGCGGTACTCATCATAAATTTAACATTTCTATTGCGCATCATGTGGGTGAGTGAACCGCCGTGGTTGCCGCTGCCAATGTCTCGTTTTGTGCTCCATTAAAGCCAATTTGCCTCCTCTCTGGTTTTTCTCAGGTTCTAATTACCAAACTGCGTTCGGCCAACACCGTGGAGACGCGTCAATACAGAAAGGCTGCTAAGGCACTGCTTGTGCTCATACCGCTCTTTGGCATTACCTATCTGGTGGTCCTGGCTGGTCCTAGTGAGTCGGGGGTCATGGGTCACATGTTCGCCGTTCTGCGAGCCGTTCTGCTGAGCACACAGGTTCAAGTTTCATTTCTGCTGTTCGTTCGCTTGTTAATTTTACGCTTGTTGTTCTTTACTTTGGTTTGCTTACGTTCGTTTCATTTGTTTGCTATTGTTGCATTGCTCTCTGCAGGGCTTCTCGGTTTCGCTGTTCTACTGTTTTTTCAACTCGGAAGTACGCAACGCGCTTCGTCATCACATCTCCACTTGGCGAGACACGCGCAACATTCAGCTGAACCAGAACAGACGGTGAGTAACAAAGTCGGGACAAAATCGCCCTCCAGTTGCGAAAAGTTTCCTTAAATCATGTCTATATATGTATGTCAATGTTTATATATTCATTTTTTTATTCTGTTGAACCGGCAGCTACACAACAAAAAGTTTTACCAAGGGCGGCAGCTCACCTCGAGCTGAGAGCATGCGGTAAGCGGGAATTGATTGAATTAGGAAGTAAGCGTGGAAAAAATGAAAGTTAAATTGGCCGGCAGAATTTAATAAAGCATTGTCTACCTGTTTGAAAGTGGAAAGCATTAAGAGATCTGCAATATATTTATTTTTAGCGAAGCTAATTATGCCTTTATCATATCTAATTACATTCCATTGCCAGTCCACTCACTTCTTACTACGGGCGGGGCAAACGCGAGTCCTGCGTATCCTCGGCCACAACCACAACGTTAGTGGGGCATCATGGCCCATTGGCAGTGCATCGTGGGTCCAACAGTGCTCTCCACATGCTCCCCACAACAACCGCGAGCGCCGCTTCTGGCAGCACGCTCAGCGTCATGCCACGCGCCATCAGTCCCCTTATGAGGGTAAGTCTCTCTCACCATATGAGAAAACAATTGTTGATTGACTCTAAGCTTCCGTTCTGCAGCATGGACTGGAAGAGAACTCTGTGTAGAGGCTTACTAATGTAATTTGTATTAAACGTTTCCTAGGCTTATGTCAGTGTGCTGAAAATCTACCAAGTCATTTAGGTAATCGGCATTGGTAGTTATTATGTTAATTGTATAGGCAAGATTTTGAGAAAGGCAAGTAAGTTGCAAAATCTAAAGAGACTGAACTTTGTGTTTGCTTCATTTATAGGCGAATAGGCAAATCTATCTATACAACAATTGGATTGATTTATTTAATGATTTATTGTGTCTACTTAGTTAAGAACAACAGAAAACTAACCGCCTCACAAAGTACCATGCTCGCAATATCTGTTTTAACTGTTCGATGTCGTAACTGTGTTTCAAAGCAACAACTTTAACTATTAAATGTAACTCAATGTGCAAAGCGAACTACCTACAACTATGTAACAAAAACAAAACAAAGCCATACCTACATACATGTACTACATATTGGAAATGTGGAAAAAACTATTATAACTAAATAAATGGTATATTTACTTGAGTGTATGCAATTGCATTTTTCTTCAAAAGCAACTCCAGATCACAATTTATTGCTCACATAAATTTCAGCGCATTTTGACATCAAAGCAATTTGTCGGGCAACACGGTCCGCGTCCTACAAACAAAAACAACAAGGCAGTAGTGTACAACAAAGAAATTATTTCTTAATTGCATTTCTGCCATACTTTGTGCACTGCAGTTGGATTATGCAGAGGAATTTTTTCTGTGCAGTTCAAGTTTTTAATTGTGGGTTTAATTTATAAAATTAATGGTAGTTCGTTTTCCCTTCTAAGGAACACACACAAATTTCTCTCGTTTGCAAGCTGGTCATCTAATTGCCTGTTCAGCGTACATTTTTTCGAATGATGGTTAACTAAATTTAATGAGCTAATTGACCCGAATGGGTGAAAGGTGAGTTTGCTTAAAATGTTTGACTCTTAAAATTGGCTGTCAAATTAAATTTGTTGCTCCATTTTGACAACTAGCGCTCTAATTAACTTGATGGCGGTCAAAGGACTACGAATATGTGCCTCAGGCTCGACTCCCTGGCATTTAAAAGCGAACCATTCTACAAGACTTCGGAGCTTTTGAATATTACATGAAGCTGAAGCAAGGGTGAACAAAGTGAAAATAAAAATGCAAATATGCAGAAGGATAAAAATGGAATTGTCTTTGTATGCAAGTGGTATTTTTCAGTGACGGCAGCGGCATAAATATTTAATGCATTTCCCAGGATAGTAAGGAAGGCAGCATGTTTGCAACATATTTTTTCGTACACAGATTTTTTATGTTTGGCGCTATTCGCGAGCAGGCACTAGAAAAATTGACTCATCTAAAGAACGTGAAAGTTGCTGGCAGTCATCAAAATAGCGACAGTTGTACATTTGTTTCGAGACTAACGCGGCGTTTGAATAGCGTTTGTGTAGTTAGAAATTCAGTGAAACTTAACAAAATATCGAAGCGAAAAGTTCAATTTTTGCTTAGTATTTTCTCAGAGTACATTGTCTGGCCTTTGCAGGTATTAAATATTCAAGTCTGATGGCACTGTATAAGTGTAAGTTCACATCCAGAGAGACTTGTCGTACTTATCTTAATTAAAATGTGCACACCGTAAGTATAAAACATAAAAAAAACCAACAGCCCTACAAAATTAAACACAGAAGGAGCCCACAGAAAGCAAATGCACAAAGTTTTTTAATGCTAATCTGGGCAGTTAGTATGAACATCAGCAGCATCAAACAGCACCCACACAGCAGGTGGTAGCTTAAAATGAACAGAATTGGAAGTTGAAATGAGCAGAATTGGAATGTGGTTGTTTGTGGCAATATAAAATGCAAACATATCCATGGTCAAGTATCTCTAGAGACATCTTAAATGTTAAACTATGTATGTTAAATGTTGAAACTATGCAGAGCAGAAATCACAAAACGAAAATAAGAAATATTCATCAGGTACATCCGTCCGCTGGCAGCCAAGTAGGAAATGCCAAGCAGCTCGGTAAACTGATTAAATTCGCTAACAAATTGAAAACGAATTGTAAACTAAATAATTCATATTTCCGAAAGTGTTAATACATAAGTCCGTTATTATTTAAACATACAAATGTGTAAATAAGCGCTTTCCCAGCAAAACACAATGCACTTTGCTACACTCTTAAGTTAGCTATCGATGAATTGCATAACGTTCTTGTACATACGATTAATATATATCAAGCCATCGCAGCCTCTGAGAAGTTTCATGACAGACTTCAGCTTGTGCATGGACTTAACAATGGCCCGTCATCAAACTTTATGGCCTCTAACTGTGAGGCAAAGATAAGGGCGTACGCATAAAACGTAACACAGTCAAACAACCGCAATTGTAACGTTTTAATTAACCAAATTGTTTGACACCAAGTTCTGGGGCAACAACATCGTCGTCGTATGCAACACGAAGTTGGTTTACATTTCTCCCAAAAACGTACATAATTAAAAGTCGCTTAGTCGCCTGACTTGCCGCACAAAAATTCATGGGATTGCGTTTTGTTTTCTGTTGTTTTGTTGTGGATGGTGACTTTAATTAACTGGCATTTGAATGGATGTTTGCGCAGTTCTGAGTGCTTGCCCGATGCCCGAAAGAGAAAAACTTTAAGTCGCGGCATAATTATTCCCAGCAAATAATCAACTAGACAAGCAAGGAGAGCCGCCCCAAATGGCGTAAAAGGTCAAATGAGTGGGGCGTATACGCGCTTGTAAATTGACGGAGAAAGTGTTGCCGCAACAAAAACAAGAGCAACAACAGATGCGGCCGCACACACAGCAAAATCAGCAACACAGAATAACAGCAGCTAAAGCATTGACGCCATTTTTAATTAAAAATTACGTTGCTGCTACCGATGCTGCCGCTGTTGCTGCAATTGGCGAACGTTCATCATAGTGCGAAGTAACCTCGTGCATATTCATGTTCATTAAGGGCTGTCTGATCAGCTTTTCTGCCCTTGGGCAGTGCTTTGACTTTTTACGCATATCAACCAAGAGAGCCCCAAAAAGTATGCTATGATTTATGCGCCGCATTGTGTGTACAATCTTGCCGCAATTTTAATTGTACATATATTTATGCACGTTAAAAGGCTCAGGAATATTTTACGGAAGAGATGAGGGCATAACGTAGCAACGACGCCACTACTAGCACACAAGAACCATCCACAGGCACTCATGGCAACTTTTAAGATATTTCCTTTAATGTTGAGGCAAAAATTAATTTTATCTGACTTCGTTTACGCTTGACTTATCCCAGCAAATTCGTGCTCATATGTGTTAGGGTCTGGTGCAAGTTCTGGTGGTCGCCCAAAGCACAAAGCGTGTTATCGCTTATTAAATATTTACCATGGATAAAGGCATGTCATTGTTTCATCTTTGAAACTTCTATGCAGCCTTCAATGTTGCGAGAGCAAAGTTTGCCTTGCATCAGTTAAAGACCTGTCTGTTTCTGACATTTGGCCAAAGTTCTGGCTAAGCATTTACGGAATAATTCAATTGCCCGAGCGTCTTTATGCAAATCATCGCCTCAGCAGCAGCAGCGTTGTCGCAAGTTCAACTTGTTAGCGTAAAATTGCATAAGGCTTAGTAGATTCGGGCAGCCAGCCATCATGTTGCAAGCAGCTGCTACTCAGTGGTCGTTGGTCACGTAGCAATGTTGCATCAGTGGCTGCTGCTTGGGGGCTCTCGCCTAATGGTTCGTGCCCGATGGCGCGTGCAGCTGTTGAAAGTATTCCTGTGGCATGTACAAGACCTCTGTGATTAGACACAATATTTGTGGCAATTTATAGCTGTAATAAACTGGTTTTTGTAATTCCGCTATGCATTCCAAATTGGAAATTGTCGTACAAAACCAATAAACACAACGGCTTTAAATATAGTTCTAGGAATTACTATATTACTAAAAGACTGTCATTAGATTCTTGTAACTTTATAACATTTTATGTTAGTACAAGCCATATTGGGATATAAAAAGCAATTTTATTTCGGTCCATTTTACAAGTACAAGTATGTGCAGATCTTAAGCGGAATATGTCATTAACGCTAGCCAAGTACTGACACGCCCACAATTGTATATTGCTTTCGCAATTTGGCTTGTATGCTTGCTATGCGTACAAATCACATTCGCCTACAGAAACATGAATTAGCGTCCCAATTAATGTAATATAGTCTTCTAACAGACAATTAATTGATGTTGAAAAAGTTCTCAGAACTAAAAGAGAATCAAAGAAACAGAGAGAGAGAGAGGGAGAGTAATAGGAAAACAAACCCAACTCATTTAGCAGCAGCAGCAGTAGCTTCCCACAGTTGGTAGTGCCAAAAAGCAACATTTATAATTAAAGTTGCATTCAAAATTAAAGCCAAAAGAACCTTTCAATAAGTTTACAGCCAACAAAATGCAAAGTGGGTCGGAAAACTTTCTTTTTAACAATGATTGACGGTAGCCTGTGACGTGTTTGCTAGAAAATATCAATCAAAATTCAGTACAAGGGGCATGTGAAGCCTGAACTTCAATTAATTACTCGCTCTAAGTTAATTACTCGCTGGAAAATTCATAAAAATTAACTACAAAAGCAAATAAGTAATTCACAGGTAACAGAGTTTTTAAAATTTAATTTAAATTTACATAGTAACGAGAACGTAACTGCGCGCGTTTGTGGCTACACACGTGCAGACAAACCAACACACTGAACGTGTTAATCATTAGATAAGTTGTTCATAATTGTGCAATTAATTTGAAATAGCTTCATGTATATGTGATTTCCATAAGGATCAATGACATAAATGATTACACATGCATAACCAATTCAAACATAACAGTCGCATGATTTTCATTTGCTGTACTTATCACTAAGAACCTGGACTTATTGTTGTAAAACATGTGTGTACCTGGAGCTATTTTCGGACTCAAGCAAGCACTCAATTTGCATATTTGATTCCTCCTTTTTTCCACTCCAACACATTTGCCACTCTCGTGTCTTTTCCCTTGACAATTTATTCACATTTGCATGCAACTGCACTCAGTCATACACTGATAAATAAAGATGAAAAAGTAGGGTCAACCTTATTTTTCAAAATGTTTAGGCGAATTTTTGTATGAAATTGACAAACCTATATTTGTGTATAGCTTTAAAGAAAGAAATGTATTAAACATTTAATTAAACGCGGTTTATATTTCTTATTTGTTTTTCCCCTGTCTTTTAATTGTACGACTTCTCTCTACTGCTCCGCTTTAATTGAAAAAGAAACTCGCACTGTAAGGCTACTGTATTGAATGAGCCCACGTTTACCCGCTAGAGCTTCAACAGAAACATTTGCGTTTGCTTTATACGTATATATTGGTATGCTACCATTTTAAATTAATACACATATTACTCAGACTTGTATTGAAATTGTTGTAACTTGTGTCGTAATTAAACAGTAATCATTTTGCAAAATACTCGCCAGATTTTCTTGTAGTGTACACACAAACATACATATATTATGACTGTCCAGGGAATACTGATGAAAAAGGTAGCATACTTTTTCGCGCTGCTTTAGTTTATCGCGTAGCCTGCGACAATAAAGCAAAAGATATTTAGTGCGCTTGAAAAAAAATCAATACGAGACAACGAAATCAGATACTGGGTAATGCTTTTTCTTTGTATCATACTAATTGATTCATAAATTATTCAGGCGGCAAAGGAACGAATGGCGTCTATTTTTGGCAACAAGTCAAGTGAAGTACTTATTTATCTTGCTGGGAACCTAAATCTACATAAACTATAACTTAAAGTATCTTTTACATAGCTGAAGTGCTTATTCTCTGTGTTTGCATGCTTCGAATCCCAAGAAAGCTAAATGCGTGCTTTAAACCCCAGCAATTTGGGCCAGTTGTTCAAGCATAACCCACACTCAGAGACCACAAGCAGTCGCTGACCTTTGTTATTCATTGATGCTTTCAGCACGTTTGGCCTTTTCTCAAGTTTTTTGCACATTTTTATGAGTACATCCAAATGCATGGGCGAAACAGAGAGAAAAACATACAACTCGTGCTCGGTTAAGGCTGAAAATGGAATGAGGTAAAGCAAACAACCAATCTCTTCTAACCTTTTTGCGGTTCGCTTAAAACGGATATTTTTTGCAGCAGACGAAAAAACATCCTGACTAAGGCTAAAGAAAACTTGCTTGGAGAAACAACCAATGGCCTGGCCAATTCAAGCATTTTGATACAGGAGCATGTGTGAAGTCAGCGTTATGTTGTGCCGACCACTAATTGGTTTTCAGGAAGTGGCCAGTGCGTGCTGATGGAATGCCCGCCCCTGACTGAACCGCAACTAAACAAGAATGACGTCTAATACTACCAGCTGTCAGACACATGGGCGAAAGTTTCTCAAAAATGTTCCACACCACATGGCGCTAGTGTGGCTCACAAGCGAGGACCCGAAACATAAATTTCTACATGCCGTGTTTTGCAAAATATTAAAAAAGGTCAAGTGATCCCCTTCAAATTATTAAAACTTTTTTCCTTCCGTTGTGGCTATGTGGCATGTGTGTCTTCACATTAGCAGCAACGCATTTGCGACGCAAACTTGAACAACTTTTCATTTGTTACACGATGTGCAGGCAGTTGCTGCCATTTTGTAGGGTTGTGTACCTAGGCAAGCGTTAATTTTGAGCCGCTATGCTGCGCGCCGTAATTTCCGGTTTCAAATTCTCATTTACCTTTTGTTTTATTTATTCTGCCTTTACCAAACACCTTTTGGGCTCCTTCAACTCGTGATGTCTGTCCAAAACTTTGATGCAGAATATGCCCGAAAATTCAACAAGTGTCGATACTGAAGATGGGTAGAAGTCGTGCTTAGTTGTGCATCGGTCTACTGCCTACTGATTATTAAATACACAACTCGAGCAGAAATACCTGTCATATACCTGAAGGTTGTACATGATTTTCATTTAATAAAATTATTTATTTTGGTGGCTTCAATGCTTTTAATAGAACTCTGGTGTTAATTCTGTGGTATCTCACGGAAGTCCTAATCCCGTCAAAAAATTGGATGCCTGCGCATCAAAATCCTTGCTGTAGTTGTGAAATGATTTTTATCCTTCAAAATCTTATACGAGGAACTCTTAATTGGTTTAGAGTATAAAATAAACTTATACTTTTGTGAGTTTTTACATAAATATTTTTATTAATGAAATCATATCAAAATATTTTGGCCAGATCGTGCCAAACAAAAATTGTAGCACGCGCCCTACTCTAACCAGGACACTCGTTGAAAACTTTTTGCTAACTTGTCTTGACGTAGCAGGTCGTCTGCTTTGTTGCTCTGCTTTGTGCTTCGACTCCAAAAGTAAATGAGTTTTGGGCATCCCTAGTGCTCAGCCAGCTCGGTTCTGCATAGTTTTACGTTTCTGAGAGGCAATGAATGCGCCTCTACAAATGGCACTAATGCAATTTGTTGCTAATACTATTATTTTTGGCACAACACTTAGGCAGTTCATTTCCAATTTGTTAGGTATTTTCCAAATGAGCGATAACAGGCGAGAGTAGCAAATCATTGCAAGACTATCAGCATCAAGACATGGCCAGAAAACTTTAAACATCAAAGCCTAAGACGACATTACATTCAACTTATTATTATATTTAGAATACCTGTCAGGACGGTTCAATGCGCCAACTTTTTGGCGACTCATTTAATTACAGGCAACAGAGCATGTCATAGTTGCAAAAACGAGGTAAGCAAACAAAACCTGCACCCTCGACTACTTCAGCTGTCGGCAATAATTGTGTCTGGTCAGTTAGGACCGAACCCTGTTGGCACTTCAAACAGCTCCTTCACATCGAGTGTCTGCAGCAAGCAAAGGCGATAAGAGATATGGACAAAACAAAATGACGGCTGTCCTGCCGGGCCATTAGCGCAGGTGTGGCGCTGAGCTGCCATTGACAGCTGTCGGCCTGCACGCTACTCGAAACTGGGCGTTGGGTTCCTCGATTAATTTGCTGCTTTAAGTGGCCTAAATGGTCGCAGTGCGAGAGTTTAGTGAGGGACCTTTGTTATTATTGCTACATTAGCCATGTTCTCGATTTAATTGCAACAAATTTGGTGCCTCTGGCATCCCTAAATTACAAAAATGTTACCACAGCGATGTATTATAGAACATTTTGATTTTCGAACGCTTGTGTTACTTGTGTTTTGATTGGCTGCCGAACGCAACTTTAGAAATTGAAAACATGGCGTTTAACGAAACCAGAAAAAGTTTTTCATTTGTTTTTATATCCTCTGTTTACATTTGTAATACTTAAAATATAAGGCACATTCATTAAATACTTCAATAGCTTTTGTTACCATATTTTATTTCGTAGCATGAACTACGTATGAATTTAATAAAGTACACACTTCCTTAATCAAATAGTACTTGTACTTAATACGAAACGCAACTGATATCCCTGCCCCCTATTATTTGTGATTTAAACGCTTTTTGTAAGATAATAAATCAATCGAAAATTTAATTTAAACTTTCAACCGTGAACATTGCTAAGACTCTGCACAACACGTTTCAGATTTCCAATTATTTTATGCTCGCAAAAGAAGCAGCAAAGGTCACAGAGCATCCAGACGTATTTAGCACAACTAAAGCTCGTTTTTGTCAAATCACTGTTGACGCCTCCCAGAGTAACTCCCCCAGGCATATCAACTGCAAACTGTATACATATTTTCTTGCTTGTCTCTTTGTTTTGCTACCGACAGAAACGAGACTCTCCAAAAAACAAAAAAAAAACCAAAAACAAAACAAAACATGAGCAGGTGCCTAGGCAATTTCTGTTCAAAGAAAAATTCAACACACACACACACACCTACATCGAATGCAGGATGTACAGTTTGTTGAAGCTGCTGCTGCAGTTGCTGACATTGTTGTTGTTGGATGCTGCAGAGCCCCGTCTTCATCAACGGCTTTTCCGAGTGCCACTTCGCCGCTTTCCATCTGCACGTCAGCGTTTCGAGCAGTTTGGCATTCGCATCGACAAACTAAGGCTGAAGTACAGTGTCGTGGGCGTTCATAAGGAGCCGCTCAGCAATTATCTAGATGCCCAGTACTTCGGACCTCTTACCATTGGAACGCCACCGCAAAAGTTCAATGTCATTTTCGACACGGGATCTGCCAATCTGTGGGTGCCCTCGGCCACGTGTGCCTCGACCATGTTGGCCTGCATGATACACAGTCGGTACAATGCGAAACGCTCGAGTAGCTATCGGCCAAATGGAGAGCCCTTCGCCATACATTATGGTTCTGGGAGCCTGTCTGGTTACCTGTCGCGAGATACAGTCCGTGTGGCTGGATTGGAGATAAAAGAACAGACTTTCGCAGAAGCAACAAAAATGCCCGGTCCCATATTCTTGGCGGCTAAATTCGATGGCATTTTCGGTCTGGCCTATCACAGCATATCTATGGGCAACGTAAAGCCACCCTTCTACGCTATGATGGAGCAGCATCTACTGGCGCGACCTGTTTTCTCCGTTTATCTGAATCGAAATTCCAGGGAACGGGATGGTGGAGCACTCATCTTTGGCGGCTCGGATCCGCGCCACTATCGTGGCAACTTTACTTATGTGATGGTCAGCCATCGCTCCTACTGGCAGGTTAAGATGGAATCAGCCCATATTAATACGCTCCATCTATGCCAGCACGGCTGTGAGGTCATCATCGATACAGGCACCTCATTCCTGGCGCTGCCCTACGAGCAGGCAATTCTGATCAATGAGAGTATAGGCGGTACACCCTCCGAATACGGCCAATACTTGATACCATGCGATTCGGTATCCAAGCTGCCGGTCATGTCCTTTCGACTGGGTGGACGCGTGTTTCAGCTGGAGGGAAAGGACTACATATTCACGGATATGTTCCGAGACAAAACAGTCTGTGCCTCGGCTTTCATAGCCGTGGACCTACCGTCGCCCAGTGGCCCACTTTGGATACTGGGCGATGTTTTTCTCGGCAAATACTATACAGAGTTCGACATGGGCAATCATCGCATTGGTTTCGCCGATACCAAATGAGGGATGTGTAGTCACTGGGGAAAAATAACTCATACGCCATGTGGTGCAGATATAGCGTTTATGTTTGCTTTCGTTTCTTGTTGTTTTGGGTTTTATTTTGGCACTCATTAAATGGTTGTCATAACAAAAAATTCGTCTGAAGTTTCGGGCTGTCATAAATTTAAACGAGCCACCCTCGAAAAACCAAAGAAAGCGAAAATAAAGAAAGCAAACCAAGTAAGTGCCTTTGGCAATCCAAATCTATTTTTGGCATATGCCGAGTGCTCCGAATTTTTCATTACAAGCGTTCGCATGCAGCCAAAAATCAAAGCAGCATTTCATATTTTATTATATTTATACCTGTCTGCCTGCACGCCTGCCTCTATGCCGCTTGCAGATATGACTCAAGTATTATGTAAAACTTGAATCAAACATTGTCGTGCCTTGGTCTTCGTGCCATTGTCATTGCCATTGCCATTGCTACTCTCTGGCCAGGCAGGAAACGAAAGTTGCTTCAACGGAAGTTAATCAAAATACGCTTGCAGCCACGAACCCGTGAAGAGTAAGCATGTCACCAACGAAAATAATGCCGTAATTGATTCAGTGAGAAAAAACAATGCTCTGCATAAGCTCTCAAAACTGGGCAGTTGCTACTCTGCTTATGTCGTAGCTCTTTGGCGCGATTTATTGCGCAGAATTGTGCAGCTGAAATATAATAAATGGAATCGGCTTAAGTTTACGACCGGCCGCTGGCGTAGCCTTTGAATTCAAATCTGGGCAGTCTTGAAGTGGGAATTTTACGAGCCCACCACCAAAGTTAAAGTTAAGTAGAAATTGTGTCCGTTCGCCTTTAGTTGTTTTAATACTCGTACATACACATAGATACATAGTATATATTCGAGTGTTTTTGTGAGTAGGTGTGCATTCTATATAAGGTTCTGAGCAGTTTCTCTTCTTTATTTTCTGTTGTTGTTAAATTCGCAGTGACCTTTTCCGTCGGTTTACATGTCCTTTATTGATATTTTGTAATTTCTTTGCCCTTCATATTAAACCCAAGAAATCGACGTTGCTCTCATCCGACACTGACAACCTCTTTCCCCTTAAGTGTTTGCGGTTCGTTTTTGTTTTGTTTTCTTTTTTGCTTTTGCGGCTTTTTTGTCCCTTTAAAATATTTATTTTTTATGATATGCATTGGCGGTTAACTTTTTCATAATATTTTTATGAGAAAGTTTTTACAACAAAGCATGTCAAAAAATTCTTTCGAACATTTCTTAAATTATTGCGGCTTAATAACAAAGTCAGCACACATATACTTATAATGCTTATACTTGTATGTGTCGAACTTTCTCAGATCAAGCATTGTAAGTCAATACTATTCAATGAAATGACTTCAAATTCAGTGAACGGGAAAATAATCAAGAATTGGTCAAGATCAGAAGAAAGGTACTTAGAACAAAATGATTAGACCTATTTTGCGCCAATTAGTACTTAAATTTGCCACCTATGGGCCTTTAAGAAGTATAAAATAAGTGGCTGAATCCTATATAGTATATCTTTTCCAAAAAATACATACAAGTATATACACCGTACAAAATGGCAAGCTGACCAATAACAGTTATCAATACAAGTAATGTATTCATCCAGTTTGTAGTTTGTTTTTATAAGAATATCAAATAACAATTTGAATTTTTTTAAATACAACAAGTTTTATCAATTCATATTCTCTTTTATACAGAAGCTCTTTTATTGTTTAACAGTTGGAACACATTTTGAACTGAAGAGAGCTGATAAATTTGAATAAATGTAACAAAACAAAACGGCACAATTTCTTAACTATTAAAGCAATAATTTTAAATTTTATGTAATTCCATTTCAAGAAATAAGAACCACAAAAAATTCAATATATAAAATTGAAGGCTAGTCTTAAAGTGCCAGCGAGTACTCTACTTTATTTGATGTTCCGTTTTACTGTCTCTGCTCAGGCATTTGAATACTAAGCCTTTGACTGACAAGACAGCACTTTTGCGGGACTTCAACAACAACACTTGGCACTACAATACTTCAAGTTTACAGCTTACATATGGATTGCGCTCAGCTCTTTATCGGTTCGAGCTCTAAGCCTGTGAGAATGGCAGCACCTCGGGTGTGGAAAATTCGCACGGATTGAGCAGTTAGAACTTTTATGCCAAATGGCTCGGGGATTTTGTGCCAGTCACCAATAAAAATAAAACCCTCGACTGTGAACTGTCAACGTGTTTTTGTGCACAGCTGTTTGGGGCATGTGGATCTGAGTATCTCTTTATATTTTCAACATACTTGTAGTGTACATAATTGTTGCTACAAATTACAAGCATACATACCTGAGCGCTCTTCACGATTTGTTCGTTTTTATTAAAAGCCATTTAAAATGAAAAGATGACTGCTACTTTTAAGGCACGTGGGGTGCGATTCAATGCATTTTCTAGTAGACATTCAATCCTACAAATGTTCCGTGCGCTCAAAACATTTAGTTCTTTACAACTTTAAAATTGGCATGGCAATGGAACGTTTTAAGCAGATTGACAGATAATCACCATGACAGCACAGCAAGTTGCCAGGAAGTAATCGCCCAAAAAGCTTAGATCGAAAGCACCACAGCGCAGCGGGCTACTGGCGTTTATTTGCCTATAAAAATGCCTGTGACACGCAAAGGACACACTCACATTCATACACACAAACATAGTCCGTTTGTCAGTCCGATAAACATTACAAAGGAAGGCTGCTCCTGTTTGCTACAAATATGTGAGGCTGTGAGTATGGGTGTGTCTGTGACACTGACTGTGTCAGCCTGACATCAAGGAGACCACTTGCTGCTGGCTTTGCCTGGCGACCAGCAGAATTAAATCATTCGATAAGATTATGCATACAGTTTGTAGTTTGTGTTTTGTATTTTGTGCTTTGTCCCTTTTCACAACGTCTATGGCCTTGCCGGGGGGCAATAACATTTGGGGCCAAATCAGTGCTAAAAATTACCATGAGAATGTTTTGCATTCAGTAAGAGGGGCATTTATTAAATTTTTGGTCGGTAATCGTTTTGTATTTTGTCAATTGGCCAGCCAAGTTAAGGCATGCTAATAGCACTCTAAACTGGGCTAATGATTCAATAAAGCAATTTCGTCGCACAAGGAGCATTAACTAGGGCGTGACTATATCCGGACCATGAATTTTAGTAGCTCCATTAAGAAAAACACAAAACGAAAGAACGACCACAACTATGACGATGGCTGTTTGCAAAAGTTAACTTAACTTCAGAGGGAAAGAGGACACAGACCTTTAACAAAGGCTTTACCTCTATTTGTCGCAATGTAGTCATACGTACAAATATATAGTATTTATGTATTTGCTGTGCCCTCACTTAATTACTTTAATATGCGTTTCCTTTTGTCTAAATATAAACAAGTGACTGCTTCAACTAAAACAATGTCATTTACTGTGATGGCCAACTTGGCAGGCTATTGCATAACATTCTGCGTTCTGTTGGAATGTGTGGACGAGGCTGGTTTAATAAGAGAAGGCAAGCTCTGAAAATGAGCCTGTTTCTTGTTTATTTGGCAGTTTCTTACAAGAAGTCTCTCATATTTCAAAATATTTGCTTAAAATGTAACCAATGTAAATATAATTCATTGAGGGATTCTGTTATATTTATTTATTTATTTATTTACTCGTACATATATAGTAATAGGACACTTTCACAAATTTCCAGACCATTATCAGTATTTAGTGTCGAATAAGTCTGACATTGTAAGGAAATAAATACTATTTTGGGTTTTTTACAAATCGCTAATAATCACTATTAAATGTCTAACGAATTTCCTAATAGCTTGATTAGACACAACAAAAACCAATTATAATTTATTCAGACTTTTTGTGAAAGTTTCTTGCCAATGGAGTTGAAGAATTTATCTACCTATACACAAAAAATATCAAAATTACATACAAATTTCACTTATTACCGAGCTTACTGCTAATTAATTTCATTTTGAAACAAAGATCAATGTCCAATGGTTGTCCAATGGTGTATGTAATGTGTAGAATGTTAGTATCTATAATCGTATATATACCTATTAGTCTATTAAAGAGCAATGGGCCGACTGAATGTTAGAATGTACTAAATATAAATAATTTTTTATTTTCTTTAATGTAAAACTGAAATACTTAATCAGTTTAAGGAATATAATTCAAATCTATAAATATATAGATGCTTAAAATATGGATACATATACTCGTATTTTTATGTATATATTATTAAGCTTCTGTCAAATCTGGAATACAGTAAATTAGACTATAAGAATGGCAACTGCAAGTTTTTAGAAACACATTTACTCATCTCTGTATGCTTATGCACTGCTCTCTGTTGCGCTAACATGGACACCTGTCTGGGACAAAATGTCAATTAGCTCTAGCAAGCAAATTAATTTTCTGTTGTTGCGCTGGCAGGTCAATAACAATCCTGGCCCGACTACAGCTTTGTTTTTGTGACGAACTGAGGCATGTGTAGGCATTTGTAGGCATGTGTCTCTGTGACACAATTAGCTTAAGTGCAATGCAGTTGGAAGCAGAAACGACCGAGATCCGTCAGCTTCATTTAATATATGGTATATTAAAGTTAAACACGATTCAATAACACCAAATATACATAATGGCAACATCATTTATCAAAAATCCTTTCAGTCTGCTTTAAGTAGCGACAAACATTAATCTCAGCTAAATATATAGCATTCGTGCCCTTTGCACGTAGCTCGTTGACGTTCACTTTCACTTTATATTGTGTTACATTTTTTGTCTTAATGCCCGCATCCAATGTCAAGAAAATGTTTCAATTTCAAGGACACGCGGCGGCACCGAAGCGTTCTTATGTTGGTGGGTGCGTTAAGGTCGCTGTGTATGTCACTCATTGTTAGTCATTTTCTAATAATCTCACGCCGGCAACAGCTTTGCTAACTGCCAACCTTGTCATTTTTTACACTTCCACACACACACACATGCACATTCATCCAGATTACACATACGCCCTGTGAGCCGCCGCACAAACAAACAAACAGAGTATTGTTTTAGCTTAAGCGTTCGTTCTTTAGCAGCAAACGTGACACTCTTAACGAAAAATTGGGCGTTAAGCATATTTACAGGCTATGTATTGGTAAAACGGTATGTGGTGACAGAAAAGCTGGAACAACAACAATAAAAATAACTGAAAGTTTTGCC